CAACCGAAGCGGCGCGGTGCGGCGCTGTAAAAGGGCGCCCGCCGCCCCTAAGCCAAAAGCGGCTGCAGTGACATCGATGATGACAGTTGCTTTGCCCATCGCAGCTGTAGCAGATCAGGGCCGCGATTGTCGATGCGCGGGGGCATGGCGATGGTTGTGATTCCATTGGTTCATATAGGGCCCTGTGCACTGTCATGAAGTCGCCGATTGGGGCTGCAACGATGGCATAGGAGCAAAGCTGCGGCCGATCCGCTTGTCAATGCTATGCGTCGCGTGAAGGCCGGAAGCGATGTATGCTATGCGGCTCTATGCTATGCCACGTGATGATATGTTATGGGTATTGTGTCATGCTATGTGTTGCAGGCAGTATGGGGGAGCTGTGTCCCGCTTCCTTCGCGGCCATCGAGTCGCATGCTAACGATGCAACGCATCATGAGATAGCCCCGAGCGGGCCGCGGCAATCGAATTGCATAGCTGGCGACCACCCGCAGGTCGCAGAAGGGGGGGTGGGGGCGCGGAGGAGCGCGGCAGAGGGAAGGATCACGCGGGAAGGAGGAGGGGGGGGACACGACGACGATTGACTTCCCTACGGCAGATTCACACTGCGCAACAAACCCACGTCGTGCACGAAGTCAAAGTACCAGCATGTCTCAGTCAAGCTCCTTTGCTCGATCCTCCTCCTCCACCGCGTCATTCGACCCTGCGCCACTGTGGGCCTCGGCCTCGCAGTCGCCGACCTGCCAGGACTGAGCCTTCCCCGCCGCGGCCTCGACAGAGTTGCTGTGCTGGTCCAGCCTGAAGTACTTGCTGGACTTCTCGCCGTCGTCGTGCTTGCGGGCCCGAACGCAAGACCGACCGCTCTTGTTGGTGACCCGCGTGCGCATGAGACCCACGCTGGCAATCGGGGACTCACCCTTTTCCTGCTTCACGTCGACCAAGGCCTCGAACTGGGCCCGCATCGCCCTCGACAGGTACTAAGCGTGGGCGGGTTGCACTCGACCAGCAGATCGGGCGCCCCAGGTTTGTTAAGGACGACCTTGATGTTGCGAGAAGGCTCATCGCCGATCGCGGCAGCAAGCAAGCGCGCCAGCGCTACCCGTGTCAAACGCTCGTTCCGTACCTTGCACTCCGAATGCACGGCGTCGTCCTTGAGCTTTCGCACGGCATTGACCAGCGTTGTCAGCGTTCTCCGATTCGGCGGCCTGTCGCACTGTTTGGTCTTGAACCCATGCAGGAACAGTTTGTCGGCAAGCCTGCTCGCCGTTAACCTCGCGAGTGCCGACGCGCGTGTTCAGACCGTCGGGACCGACGACCTGAACCTATGGTTTGAGTACGAGGGTCATGACGTGACCGTCCTCTGAGCCACGCTGGCAACTGCATCGACGACCGATTGACGCGCGACGTGCGATGGTAACAACATCGATTGACGCGGTGGTGGCCACAAGCGTGCATGCACGACTGATCTACACAACTCTAAAGCGCGCCACGCTCATATGGCACATCGAGCTGGGGCTGCCCGCGCACTCTGATGCACAGCGCCTGGGCACCCTCCGCAACTCGACAGGGCGACGCCGCAGATAAATGGCCAGCGATCTCACGCAGACTTGCGGGCCTTCTTGGATTGAAGAGCGGGCTCGGATATGTTCGCCTTCTTTGCAGTGGTGACCGCCGCCAAGTGCAGCGCGAGCTCCTCGTTCCCGGCGGCCTCCTTGAAACAATTCGCGGCGCGCGGGATGGCGATGTCGATCATTGGGCTAGTCATCTTATCGCCGGTCCCTGGGCGCTTCGCTTTCACCGTGGTAATGGCGAGCTTGCAATTGCACTTGTCCCTGTCGGACTCCACGCGGGGGCGCCAGCGCTGGCTCGCGAACTCATCGGTCGGCGGCGACGGCATGATGAACATTTTCGGCGCGCCGTCCACGGCGACGCTGACCTCGAGAGCCTCGGGCGGGCACGCCGAGGCGCCCTTTGTCTGAGGCGCGGCGACCGAGAAGCTGGCACTGCGACGTAGCAGTTTTTCTCGAGCACCTTGATCGCCAGCACTGCCCTGCACGGCTTCTCCATGGGCCTGGCGCGCTGCACCCCGCACTTAGTATGCAGCGCATTCAGCGCAGCATATCTCATGCCCTTCGCCCCAGGGGCGATGCAGTTCTCATCGTTGACCACGTCGCAGTCAGGATAATTGCCCATGCGCCCCCGACCCTTGCAAGTGACAAGCGCCTCTTCGATTTCCTCCAAGGGCTTGGGTGTAACGCCATCGTCGCCAAGAGTGCCACTCAACCTCGCCAACTTGAGCGTGATCGTGCCATCACCACTAACATCCGCGATCTTCCAAATATCTTGCATTGCCAGGGGGGCGCCGCCAGGCGGCCTTCGGAACCGAAGGTGGGCGCCGACAGCGATGTCCTTGTTGAGGGCAGTAGTCTGCCCCGATCCCGAAGCCTCACCGCCATCGGTGCACTGCGCGGAGTCTGCTGCCCCGCCAGCTGACCAGGACGAAACATCTGCTGATAGCCTCGCCCGCGGGCCAGCCCCTGACATGACATCCACCTCCCGATGGAATCCTCAAGGACCGTCGTCAGCGTCTCCGTCATCTCCGCGGGGCCCTCGCCCTTGACCGTCGCCTTGTCCTTCTTCTCCAGGAGGAAGTCCGCGGTGTCAACCAAGAGCTGGCCCTTCAGCGACTCTATCACCGACGGGTCCAGCTGCGCCCCCGCGAGCAGATCCTTCGCGCGCATCAGGGCGCCGTTCGCCCCCATCACCGCCTTGCGCTCCTCGGGCTTAGAGAGCTGGGCCAAGTCGGGCTTCGTGCTATACCCTGCGAACCCGTCACTCACGCAATCTTCCGCCGCGGCGTGCCGAAACAATGCGGCGTTCACCGCGCGCGCTGGCGTGGAATCGACGGGGGACTTGAGTTCTGCCAGCTGCGCGAAGAACGCGCCTGGGACCACGCGGCCGGAAGGCGCGCAGAGGTTGAAGAGGGGCGAAAGCTCCCTGATCAAACTACCGCTGGGCATGCCGCCCCACTTGGCGATGCGCTCCACCATGCCTGGGGCGCCCGTGCCTCTTGTGGGCTGCGACTTCCTTCTCGGCAACTGCTTTCCAGTCGGGCTGCGTGCCCATGATGGGCGCCGCGTCAATGATGCTCAACAAGTTCTGGTACCAAGTCTCGCCTGGGCCCCGCTGCTGTGACTACGCATCGGCAACCGCCGCCGCAATCGCTACCTCCGACGCCCCCGCTGCCTGTCGCTGCAAACAAACGGATAACGGCGGCGACGACGAGTGCAAACGAACTGGGGGCTGAGAGGACGGGAGGCGGGGGCGCGATTAGGAGGGGGGGGAGGCGGGCGGAGGGAGAGAAGAAACTATGAATGATGAATGAAGGCGGCCCGCGGACGTCTGTTGTGCCGCGCGCAAGGCGTCGCCAGCGATGTTGGCTCCCACGGGCAACGCCGCGTGGACGACACATTTCGCAACGGTGCATTTGACGCCGTTGGCGATCGCGTCGCTGAGCAGGCAGCTCCTGTCTCGGTCGCGCACGACGTCGGGGTCCATGAAGCCGTCCTTCGTCAAAGAGTCGCATTCGCTCTTGGCGCGGTCGTGGACGCGGGCAAGCCCGTGGAGAGCGCGCGCTGCTCCCCGCGCCCCTACTCGGATCTCATCCTCTCGCTACTTCTCGAAACGCGGGTTTTATGCACACTGGTTCACAGCGTATTTGGCGCACTCTTTGGTGCAGGGGTTGTCCTCGCCAGCCGCAGCATTGCGCTTGGCGGCGGTCAGGCACACACCCGACGTCTTAATGACTTGCACGCGCCCGTGCGCGCGACGCCACTGGACGCCTTCGCCTCCGCGGTTGGTTTCCATGGCACCGACTTGCTTGCAGTGGAACACCTGCTGGTACGACTGATTGTGCTTCTGGCATGCCTCGAGGATGCGGTCCTTGAGCTCTACGTTGTCTGCTGATTCTTTGCTCTCGGCGCCCTGCTCGTCACGCGATGTTGTTTTGATCTCGCGGTAGCAGGTCGTGGCCTTGAACGGATCAACGATCTTCGCTGCAGAGTGCACGATTGAAGACAAGTTGACTCGGCATGCGAACGCAACATTTACGATATGCGATCGCCGCTATCAGCCCAACAGCAACTTAAGCCAATATATGCTACGCACAGGAAGAGTAGGTGATCTCATTTCGCTAAACGGGAACATGTGGTCAGACTCGTGGATCACAACCGACTCTACATGACAGGACAATATCAGAATTCGGAAACCGAGGCAGCCGTCAACGACGCATGCCGCCAATCATTCGAGTATCGGTGTGTTTGCAAACGCACGCACGCATGCAACAATCGCAGATGCTACACTTTACGTTGGCTTGCAATCAGCAGCGTGCTGTTATGCATGTGCGTATGTATACTCAGTACGTATGTTCGTGCACACGTGGCATGGAGTAATACTTGGGTTATGTTGGCGACAAGTCGACTCTCTTGTAACCTCATATCCCTACGCATCTACTTACTAACTCATGTGAGTGTTAGCAACAGTTACGATTGAGTTGGGCATGTGATGGTGACGTTGCTACTCTATTGTGAGAGGGTTGGCAAGAGTTGTAACGAGCTTGCGACGCGGTGAACAACAAAATGTGTGGTTCCTCCTCCTTTTCCTCCCCCTCATCTTCTTCCCCCTCCTCCTACACGTTCCTCCACGTGTTCTCGCCTCCTCGTCCGCGCTCCTCCTCTTCCTCCTCCCCCTCCTCCTCCACGTTCCGCCTCCACGTTCCCTTTTTTTCTCCTCCTCATCATTCACGCTCTTCCTCCTCCCCGTGCTCCTCCTGCTCCTCCTCCTCCTCCTCCTCCTCCTCCTCCTCCTCCTCCTCCTCCTCCTCCTCAGCGCTCCTCTTTGAACGCTCTTCATCCTCCGAGCGTCTCCTCCTCCACTTTCCTCCGCCTCCTCCACTTCCCTCCCTCGTCGCCATCCTCGAAGAGGGCGGGGATATGCGGGGCCAGGCAGGCCGCGGCGGGCCGCCCGACGTGCCGCCGCTCTCCGTCGCCGTCGAGCGCGTCGAGCTCCCCGGGCCCGCGGAGGACCGCAGGTCGGTTTTCCCTGGGCGTTTTCGTCGTCGTCGTCGCTGCCAGAGAAGGAGGAGGAGGAGGAGGAGGAGGAGGAGGAGGAGGAGGAAGAGGAGGAGGAGGCGGAGGAGGAGGCGGAGGCGGGAGGCGGGAGAAGGGAGAAGGGAGAAGGAGGCGGGAGAACGAGGGAGGAGGGAGGGAAAAGGGAGGACGTCGTCGTCGTCGTCGTCACCATCGTCGAGGTGGGAAGAGTTGAGGCGAGAGGTGGTGTTCGCCGAGAGCGAGAGGGGATCATCACCCACCAAACCACTCCAACCTACCCGAAGGCCCCAGTTTGCCCCCATTCCCAGTGTGGAGGGGGGCGTCGGGGAACATTGAAGAAACACATGCGGACACCGTACAGTCGGACCGAGGTGTGAGATCGAGGTCCGTTCGGGGAGGGTAGTTACCATAATATTCATCGTGTTGGTTGGATGTTCTTGTGCATCCTGGGGGAGGGGGGCATCGGATGTTCCGTGTGTTTTGACCGGCGGAGAGTCTCCTGTTCTTGAAGGATGGTCTTCTTTCCTAGTTCCGACTGTACCCCCCCCGACTCGAAATTTGGGTATTCGGGTTGGGTTGGGGTGATTTGGTAGGCAGTATAAGGGAGGGGGGAGGGGCAGGAGTGGGGTCTGCCAGGTGGGCGCTCGCCTCCTCCACACCCCCTCCAGGTGGGCGCCCAGCGGGGCTCGGCGGGGCGCAGTGAGGATCAGCAGATATCATGCGAACGCAGCAGGATGAGGCGTCGTCTCGTCGTCGTCGTCAACCTCCTCCTCCTCCTCCTCCTCCTCCTCCTTCTCCTCCTCCTCCTCCTCCTCCTCCTCCTCCCGGTCCTCCTCCTCCCGTTCCTCCTCCTCCCGGTCCTCCTCCTCCCGGTCCTCCTCCTCCCGGTCCTCCTCCTCCCGGTCCTCCTCCTCCCGGTCCTCCTCCTCCCGGTCCTCCTCCCGATCCTCCTATACTCCTCATCCGAATGATCCAATTATTCATCCTTTTCCCCCTTCTTCCCCATAGCGGCGGATGGCTGCACGTCGAGCCTCCGAGTGCCAGCGGAGGGCCGTAATTGGGCGGGATGCTCGAACAGGTTGGGGCGTTCCGTCGTCTTCGTCGACGCTTCTCTGCGCTCCTCGAACGTTCTCGGGCGTCGTCGGAGGAGGGGACGAGGAGGAGGAGGAGGAGGAGGAGGAGGTGTTAACATGCAAGCGTTCAGGTGACTGGGGAGGAATAGTAACCCTGTTGCCTTTGGCTCAAGTGTTTAACGGCTGAAGCTACCGAGACTTGCTTCGCCGTGCGGGAGTATAAAGGTGACCTATCATCATCATTGTTACCAGGCTCCCGTGCAGAACCCTCCTCGGGGTTTTGCATGGTAGCGGAGCGCGGTTGCCATGGCGGCGGCGGCGGCCGCTGCAGCTAGGCCTGGGCAGGGCGACCCGCCGGTTAACATCAATGTGCCGGCAGACAGAGACGCATGGGTCAACATGGACCCCAACCGATTCAACGACCTGTGTGAGCAAGCGTACCTGAGCGGAGACTTCAGTTACGTCCAGACAGCGTTACTCGCGAACCATTTCGGACTCGCAACGTTCATCAACGAGCGAGTGACACAGGACCGAAGGGAGGTATCGAACGCCGAGGCATTCCAAATGTTACAGAGTGCTCATAAGACCAACAGCATGTTGTTAGCGATTACGAAAAGAAATGCTGCACTTGAAAGGGATGCTCGCAGACTGGTGGAAAGAGTTACCGAGTTGGAGACCAACAGCGAGGCACAAGAAAAGTTGATTGAAAAATTTGGTCAGCTTTCGGAAGCAATTAAAGGAGGAAGTGGAAGCAAGCACGGGAGCGGTAAACCGATAAGCGAATATAAGGCATTACAGGCGTTAAAGAACTTCAGTGGAGAAAGAGCAAAGTTCAGAGACTGGAACGACAAGTTCTTAAACGCACTGGCCCAAGTAAAACCGAGTTACAGACCGGCGCTGAAAATGCTAAACAAGAAGTTGGAGACGCTCGACGGAGTTGTACCAGAGGAGGACGATGATGACATCATACGCATAATGAACGGCCGATTAACAGCGAGCGAATACTTGAAGGCGAATTCAGCTAAACAAGCAGAGGATGACAACAAAGGAGAGTACGAGTTTACCGAGGGAGACAAAACTCAAATGGAGGAAGACTTATGGTACATTCTCAACGAGAAGCTCGAAGGTGCAGAAGCAAGAGGAAAATTAAAGGGACTTATGGATGGAGATGGAATCATGGCTTGGCAAAAGGTCTACAAATGGTACTCGGCTGTTACCGGAGCGACTCTGTCATCAAAGATGAACCGCGCCATGAACCCTGAGCCGCCCAAGAAGATTACTGACGCCGTTACCCGACTTGAGGAGTGGGGCGCATTGGCAGAAAACCTTGAAAAGTACGGTGAAGATTACTCGCTGCCTCTTCCTTTTAAAGTCACCGCACTCAGGGCAATAATGGTGCATGCGAACGATTGGTTTGATGAATGGCAGCAGGCGTGCTGGCGAACGCCCGACGCGCTTAACATTGACTCATTCCAGAAGTTATACTCCAAGTGCGAAGACTGGGCGCGTAAGAAGAAACTCGATTCAGACGCAAAAAATAAAGATGCGATGGACATTGGGAACATAAACGAGATGGGTCAAGGGTCCGAAAATGTTTGGGGCCAAACAGGATGGGTCGACGAGGACGGAAACTGGTGGCCAGAAGATGGATCGTGGAGTTACGGGCCCTGGGCCAATGAGAGTGACAGTGGGGACTATGAAGAAGTTGACGCCGTAAACAAAGGCAAAGGTAAAGGCGCGGGCCCCAAATGTTACAATTGTGGAGGCGTGGGCCATTTAGCCAGAAATTGCACAAGACCTAAACAGTTTACCAAAGGAGGTAAAGGTGGCAAAGGCGGAAAAGGCAAAGGTTACCGGGCCACCTACGGATCCTACGTGAAAGGTAAGATCGGCGGTAAACAAAGTGGTAAAGGAAGTGGCTCGTGGGGTGGAAGTTATGGAGGCCAAGGAAAATTCACTCCCCATAGCGAGCGTGAGCGTTACAAGTGCGGTGCCAAAGGGCACATCGCCATTAACTGCCCGGGCTCCAAGAAGACCGCCAACGAAGTTGAGCAGGAGAGACCTACAATGAACGCTGAAAGTGAACAAACTACCTCGTTCGGCCAACCGCAACATGTTCTCAGCGTTGAGTTGAAGGACGAAGTGAACGTGCCACTGAACCCATTCGCAACTGAGGAGGTTAACGGGCAATGAGATCTACCCTCATATGCCAGAAAGAAAATGGCGCGTAGGACTGCGATGGGTATGAAAAGAATTTACCAGGAGCATCAATGTAACGGAGATTGTAATCATGTGAGTCAATGGGGCCAGAGGATAAGTAAAAGCATAAAACAGGAAAAAAGTTGGCAAGAAACATGCAGAGAAATTGGGCTAATTGAAATGCGGGACTGTGATCCAGAAATTAACGCGGTGCCACCACTGAGTGCAACGCATGAGACAATCGTGGTTACCGTGGACTCTGGGGCGTATAACACAGTGGGACCCCCCCAAGGTTGGCACCTATTTCCCCATTAAGCATACGGATGCGTCAAAGCAAGGAAGACATTACAGCGCAGCGAATGGGACGACGATGAAGAATTATGGTCAACGAGTGATCACGGGCAAAAATGAACATGGGACTGCAGTCAGTATGCCGATCCAGGTAGCAGAAGTCAACAAAGTGCTGGGATCCGTCAGAGAAATGGTAAACGCTGGAAATAGAGTTGTGCTTGACAAGGATCTTAACGGGAGGTCCCTGAGCCACATCATGAAGAAGGCCACAGGCAAATTCACAACTATCCACGAGAAGAACGGCGCGCTTCAGTTTAACATTACGGTGCCGAGGGGACCAGCGGAAGCTGTTAATCCCAGGAGCGAAGTGAACGCAGCTGAGGGTTTTCCGCGGCTGGGAACCCTGGAGGCGGACCTGTTCTACTAAGCCCCCCATTACCCGTAAGACCAGGCGAAAACTTAAACGTCTTTAATACCGAAGGAGGCGAAGGGAGTGAAAGTGGGGGCAACGAGAGTGAGTTGAGTGATGTGGAAGATGCATGCGTGAGCGATGAAGCAGAGTTACCGAAGAAAGTTTACTGTGACATGAGGCCCTCAAAGGAGGAAGTTGAGACGCACAACACGACGCATTTACCTTACAGAAGTTGGTGCCCACATTGTGTTAGAGGAAAAGCACGCAGGCGCAATCGCCGTAGACGCAAAAGAGAAGGGAGCGGAAACGTGCCAGTGATTTCAATGGACTACATGTGGCTTAAAGGAAAAAAGGAAGAAGGTGAAAGTGCCAGTAATGGCAACCCAATTCTGGTCATGCGTTGCAGGGAGACCAAATTAACATGGAGCAGAGTGTTGATGAAAAAAGGAGTGGACTCAGACTCAGTAAAGGTGGGATGTGATGTGATCAGCTTTACCGGATACAAGAAGGTTATTCTCAAAAGCGATGGAGAAGCAACAATTACGGCACTGGCCAATATAATCAAAGCGTCGTGTGACCTTGACATGGGTGTTGAAGTCAGTCCAGTGGGTGACTCAATGGCCAACGGTGAAATCGAGAGGGCTGTTAGAACGGTGCAGGGTCAAGTCAGAACGTTTAAGAGTGCTTTGGATGCCAATTATAGGACTGAGTTTGGTGAGAGTCACCCGATAATACCGTGGCTGGTGAGCTATGCGTCTTCTCTGATTAACAAGTTCACGATAGATACAGATGGGAAGACAGCCCATGAGAGGTGCAGGGGAAGAAAGTTTAATGAGCAAATTCCTGAATTTGGCGAATGTGTCATGTACTTAAAGACGCCTGCACACAAGGGCCGCGAGAAGCTTGAAATGAGATGGGAAAGTGGAGTGTTTTTGGGGATAAACGAGAAGAGTCAGGAGTTGATTACTGGGACACCAAATGGGGCAATCAAGGCGCGCGAGTTTAA